CATATTAGGAGCACAAGTCCCTGAATATAAAGGGAAATCGCTATGAAAATATTACGACATAGACCAAATTGAAAAATATAATAGAATGTCCAACCCCTTAGCTACAAATACATAGCACAATAGAATTTAAAACCGCAACCAAGCCATCCCTCAAGGTAGGGCAAGTAAATTGGATGGCCTGCATTAATAGCACAAGAGAATAGAACAAAAAATCAATGTTAAAAAAATAAGGAAATAAAGTGATCTATTTGTAGGAAAATATTAATATATAAGAAGACTTAAAATTCAAATCGAAAACCCAATCCTTTGGCCACAAATAGGCAGCACAACCAAATTCAAGGCCCAAACCAAATTGTCCCCACGGGGCAAGAAAGTAAATGAACTGTATTGGTAAACACGAGAGAGTAGTACAAAGAATCAAAATTAAAAATATAAAGAAAAACTGGAACTTAGTTGGAAAATATTAGTATATAGAGAAATCTAATTAAAAAATCCAAATGAATGTCCAACTCTTTAGCCATATAAGTAGTAAAACCAAATTCAGTGCCAGGACCATGTCACCACCCAGGTCTGACAAAGAAATCGGATTAATCTTATTGATAGCGTATGAGACAGAACAAAACGATCGAAGTTAAAAGGACAAAATAATCGGATTAATCATATTGATAGCGTATGAGACAGAACAAAAATATCAAAGTTGAAAGGACAAGGGGAAAATAACTCATTAACATGGAAACATTTGTACATAGGAAAAACAACATCTGAGCCTCTCCCCCACCCCCAAAAAAATCATAGGTAGCACAATAATTTCAAAGACAAAACCATATCAATCCCAGAGTATCACACAAAGGAATCCAAGAAACCATATTAAGATCACCAAGAAAGTGAAAATTAAGAGTAAGATTTAAGTTCTCCAAAATAAAATATTTCATAGTTTATTAAAAAACTTTAATCTCGAATCAGTGGCTCACAAGCGCATCCACAAGTCACAACACACAAATAATTTAGGTCCCAAAACTGAGTTTCTTGCCAATGTATTAGAAAATGAAAGATGGCAAACCGTTTAAGAACAAAAATTATTGCTAAGGGAAAAAAAAATAGAGCAATAGACAACTAGAAAAAACAAATTGAATGTCTAACCCCTTTGCCACAAATACATAGCGCAATCGAATTCAAAGGCCCAACCAAGTCGTCCACCAAGGTAGGGAAAAGAAATTGGATGGACCGTATTGATAACACAAGAAAATAGAACAAAACATCAATACTAAAAAAATAAGGTATTGATAGCACCAGAAAATAGAATAAGGAAATAAAGAAATTGTTGGTAGAAAAATATTTGTATATAAGAAACGCTTAAAAATCTTAAATAATGTCCAATCTCTTAGCTACAAGTAGGTAGCACAACAAGAATCCCAAACCAAATTGTACCGACGGCATGGTTGGATGCAATGTAATGTAACGAGAGTAGTACAAAAGATCAAAATTAAAAACATGACGAAAAAACATAAACTTAGTTGGAAAATATTAGTACACAGACAAACCTAATAAAAATCTATTTGAATGTCAACTCTTTGGCCAAAAATGAGTAGCAAAAACATATTCAAAGCCCAAACGAAGTCATCCCCCAAGGTAGGGAAAAGAAACCAAATTAACCATATTGATAGCTTAGGAGAATGGAACAAAATATGAAAGTCAGAAGGGAAAAAAATGATTCATTAGTAGTGAAAAATTAGTAAATAGACAAGTAGATTCTGATGAAATGCCAAGTTGATGGAAGGCAACTTTCTATCACAAGAATTAAGTGAAAATTTGACAGTTGAGATAATCCAAAAGTCCAGTAGAAAAAAATCGTACGGAACTAGATGATGTAATTTATAATCAAAACAGTAACCACAGCGTGAAAGAGTTCTGCTATTGTCAAAAAACCTGATGCACAACAAGGTTTGGACCGTCATAATTAAGGCAGCAAACAATATACCACACTCATAAACGCTGGATCTCGCTCAGATAAAGCACCAAGGCATCAAATTTTCCCAGATCAAACAATTGGATAACAGGAAGAAATTACAAATAACCAATTAACAATGTCAAAAAAAAAAACAATTAACTCAAAATCACCTACGACTAATTTAAAAGAACGAGAAGAAGAATAAGTAACCTGACTTAAATTGGATTCAAAGAATCGCACCTGTAATTTGTTCAACCCTATTGAAGTCTTCCTGCATTCTTCAATCGCTATTTTGACCCGTAACTTTGTTTTCCCAGATGACCCCAGAATCTTGACAATACAAAACGAAACGGGGACTTCAGAATCAGAGAAGAAAAAATACGGCTACGGATAGAAACACTTTAAAAGCCTAACGCCACAAGTACACAACAAACAACTTACCTTCTTCCTTTGGCCAAATTTCTTGCCCATCTTCGCCTGCTGGTAGTACAAGGCGATCGGATATCTGTCGGCAACGCTAAATCCCGGATGGTGTTCGACGGCGGCCTCGGCGACGAAGATATCGTCGAACGCCAAGAAGGCGGTGCCGCGCGCATCTTTCTTCGTGCCGATGCGGATCTATCTGACTTGCGGTTATGTTGACGACATGTTACGAGCGTAGAATACGTGGTTGACCTCCGGCAGGAAGCGAGTGATTGTACTGCGGAGGCTTAGTGCGGCCAGAGACGGTGAATTTGAGAGATTTTTCTGAACAATATTAGGGTTGGTAATTTGGTTTTGGGGCAAACTGATTAGGGATCTTTCCTTTAAAACAATTGTTACTAATCTACTTTCCTTAAACATCCTTTTCACTTCATTTATTACCCAAACGGAAAAAAAAAAATAAAAAAAAAATGCTAAAAAACAAAT